GCTCGAACAAGGACTTGACGGGTTGATGATATGGAGATCTCGACTAGCTCGCTTCCAATGAACATCATGCTTACTACTGCTTCGTTCAGAGACAAAAGGTACCGTCCACTTTGAAGAACCGACATTGGGAGTACTTGAATTTCCATTGTTCCTCTCAGGAACACCCGGGATAAGTAGCGGCATTTTTCGAGCTTTATCCGATGGCTTGGTCTGATCGGTGGTCTTTTGTACCGGCGGGATATACTCATCCAAGAAAGACCTGCAAACTTGAGTCCACCACTTCTTGTATACGTCGGAAGAAAATCCCCTCGGAATCGCAGGGATGCGTGGAAGAATAACTTCGGCTGAAGATTTCAAGTAAGTGCTTTGGTGCCAATGTTGATAGCCTTCCTCAAAAGCGCAACAACGGACGTCTTTCAAAACAACTCCGGGAATCTCTTGGAAAAAACCAAATTGACGGCAAAAACGGTGGGGACTATACGGCTCCATGAAGCATCGAAATCCATCCCGTAAAGTCAGAAAACAAGAGCGAATGGAGATGAAGTATTCTTGCTCGTAATCTTCGCGCTTCCCGTCATCAACAAACCGTACGTCGAAATCTTTCGCGATCATGGTGCAAGCCCAACGAAAGTAGTCACCGTGCAAGATCTTTCGGCATGCAACATTTGCTCTATACGCACGAGCACTAACAGCCCCAGAGTGCTTCACCATCCCCGGACCACGGATTCCCTTCCATACGCCGTAGTGGGTCTGAAAATACTCAGCAATCCATCCGGTCAAAAAGTGGAGAGGAATTGTCGACCGAACTTTCCCAGGACATGATGAATTTGCGATCTGGTTCAACCCTCTATAAATACTGGTTAAGACTGGAATGGCCAAGCTTACTGGAAATCCCAACGCTAGGACACTTGCCATCTTGAAAGTTGAAGAACGTATCAAACCAACATCGTCGAGCGGAAGCACAAAGATGCAAAGCCAACAAGAAAGGAACGCTGGGAGAAAAGTCTCCTCAAGGTGCTCCCGTCCAACTTTGAGTTTGGCAAAAGATGACTGTTGCGCCTTCAACCATGGCTCGTGGGCACCAATCTCTCCGGTAGGATTGTAAGTCGCATCAGGCCGAGAAGAACGAGTAGACTCCTTGTCGCGAGGAATTTGAGGACGCTCGTATTTGACGGTCTTTTTGCACCAAAAAGAAATCCAGTCGGTTGCGCTGACGCCACATCGACCTTTGTCCGAAGAAGGTGATAGGCATGCAACAGGTACCGGCACGAACGGGGAACCAGCTTCCTATCCTCTTTACTGCCATATAGCTCCTTTGCGCTTGGTACCACCTCTTCGTAAAATGAGCCGAGTATGGGGAGGCCCGCCAAGGACGCCAAGTCACGGAGAGAGATCGACACTTCACCAAGTCAAAAGGGTGTTGGTTCTGGGACACCACGCCTCGCAAACACCCTTGACGATCTCCGGAGAATAGTCGTAGGAGAACAAGGAAGCGTAGACCGCATCGTAAATGCATCATCTCTTTAGTGGAATCTCGTATCGATCCAGCACATCCTTCGCCCATTCCCAATAGCCGGCCACGTACGAAAAGTTGCCATCAAAAGAAGGAAGACCATTCCAAGCGCACGCCCCATCCATGATCCGCCGCCCCAAGGTTGGAAGTGGAAGAACATCGTTTGACATGTGTTGATGGAGTGAGGATTGCAAGGTATGCTTTCCGCCAGCGACATTCCGAGACCACGTCTTTGGGAAATTTGGGACCTCCAAGCGAGGGCGAGCAGCTCCGCGTCCTATGAGTGGTGGATGCACCAACAGACGAGTCGCCTTGTCCAGCGGTTGACCTTCAAACTCACAAATCACCAACTCGGCGTTTCGAGAGGGAGAGGAGACATCCTTGAAGTAAGCCATCTCTCGCCTACAAAAAAAAAAAAAAAAACATAAGCAAAGACCAAAAGATGAAAAAAAAAAAAAAAGAAGAACAACACAAGAGAAAGAAGCCTACGCTAGAATGAGAGAAATCAAAGTTGTGAGAAGTTGAGAATGACAAAGTTCTCTCATGGTGAGGGGTTTATATAGTATCTAAAAATTGAGACATGGAAAGACACGCATAAGGGAATGAAGAAGATAAGAAAATAAAGAGAAAAGGAAATAAAAAAAAGAAAGGAAGATAAAAATTAAAAAAAAAAAAAAAGAATATATATATATCTATATGATATGTGTGTGTATATATATAAAAAAAATGGCAAAAACGCCATTTAAAAAAAAATAGAATTTTGCAAAAACAAAAGGCAAAAAAATATCAATTTTGAAAAAGAAAAAAAAAAACAAAAAAAGAGGGCAAAATCGCCACTTAAAAAAAGGAATTTTGCAAAAAATAAAAGGAATTTTGAAAAAAAAAAAGAAAAAAAGGGCAAAACGCCACTTAAAAAAAAAAAGAATTTTGCAAAATAAAAAAAAAGGAAAAAAAAGAAAAAAAAAGGGAAAAAACGCCACTTAAAAAAAAGAAGAATTTTGCAAAAAAAAGGAATTTTGCAAAAAAAAAAAAAAACAATTGGCAAAAAAAAAAAAAACGCCATTTTGAAAAACAAAAATGGCAAGAAAAAAGCCATTAAAAAAAAAGAAATTCTTTTTTTATGTTTCGAGACTCGTTCACGCCTTAAACATTTTGCGTTGGCTTAAACAAATCTCGAGGGGGCATTTTGTAGACATTAAAAATTAAATGTCTAAATTAAATTAAATATCATGTATTTTGGAAGAAAATAAAATTCCAATAATATAAATATATGGTATTTAATTATGTACATATGTTAATTTTTGTAAAATAAATATCAACCATTAATGCAAAAATATGCTTAAAATGGAAGATATCGTACAAATATTACGTGCATAAATAGAGCCATAATAAATTTGGTAGCAAAATAAATTAATCTTGTCAATAAATGAAGTATCTAAATTAATATTTTCAAAATAAGGCAATGATATAAAGATCTTGTCAATTTCGGGTGTGTTTGTTGGGGATTTGGATTTTGAGTTTGAATTTGAATAGTAAAAATTTTGAATTTGAATAGTTGTATGATGTGATATAAATAGGTGTTGATGTGATGTTTTGAATGTAAAATTGATTTTTAGTATAATATAAAAAATGAAAAATAGGTGTTTGATTTGATATTTTTGGGGGGAAAAAATTGAATGAATAGTGTAAATCCAATTCAATCCCCCAAACAAACACACCCGAAGTATATAAATTAATATCTTCCAAAAAAGACAATGATATAAAGATTTTGGCGAGAAAGGAATGTGCACAATCAAATTCGTCAAGAATGGAAAACAACATCTGATGGAAAAGGAAAGATTATAAAATATTTCCATCCACGTGGCACCATCCGAAAAGGAAGCCAAGGCCACCCTCTCCTATAAATAGGAGCCTTGGTCAATTCATTACACACCGAAAGTTCATTTGAAGACTCGCGCAAGGGTAAGTCTCTCTAAACTCTCTGCAATGTTCTTCATTGTTTTTCGTGTCCTTCGAAGCGTTCTTCGTCGAAAAGTCATCGATTTGGACAAATTATCCAATATTGGTTGGCGAATCGATGAAGTTAACGTTCTTCGTCGTATGTCCGAGCCGGAGGAAGGATCAAAGCTCTCAAAGCCATCGAGGAATCCATCAAAGCTAAGGAAGAGCCTCCAAAGCCGCTCTCAAAGCTTCAAGATGTTCGTCGCGTTCTTCATAAAAGGCGCAAACCAGGCCCTCTTCGATCCAAAAGTCAAAGGGACACACCGCCAAAAGCGTTATGGAGCACCAAATTCCCCCCCCCCCCCCCAAAGATCAAATTCTGTCGGATCATCCAAATGGGGCATCAATCCAAAGTCAACGATCAAAATCGCCAACATGGATACCAAAGTCTTCCAAAAGCCGGCGAAGTCAAACCGAAGACCAAAATCTCTTCGATCAAACACTACAAAAAAAAATTATTTTTGTAACAAAACTTTTTTGTCTCTAAATCTACTTTTTCCGTTACTAATGACATTAGAGATGGAATTAGAAATGAAATTACGTTAGCTACGTGAACTTTAGTGACGGAATTCCGTTACAATTTTTGTAGTGCAAAAAAGCCACCCAATTCCAAATTGAAAAAATAGATCAAACCGGAGAGAGAATCAAAGGATCCAAATAGAGAATAGGATCCGCATATATTTAAATTAAATATAATTTATACTATTTTTGTGTTTATAAAAATATAACACAATTTTTTTTATACATATATCTATACTTATATATGAACAAGGATTGTATTTGACACTATTAATGATAAAAGCAGGCAAATGCCACGCCACAGACACCCCGCTAAGTAAAATACTAAATAAATAAGTCCTTAAAATGTTCCTTTTTAAAAAAAAAATAAATAAATGTTCAAGTGCAAATAAAATTTTGAAACAACAAAAGAATAATTAATATACACAAATAATTACGTATTTGAAATGTATTTTATGAATTGGTGAAAACAAACACAAACACACAGTATACCCTCCCTCTATACAATCCAGGTATTGATTGCATTCATATTCTTAATTAATTCGCATAAAAAAAAGTTATGTCAATTTTCTAATCCCATTTTTTTATCCATTTTTTTTTTCAATTATGTTTTTCTATACATTCATTATAAAAAAAATGGTCTTTCACTACGGTTCGACAGTTTGTTACAATAACATCGTAACAAATAATGTTTTTTGTTACGACAATTTCCTGTGACCAAAAAATATTTTTTTGGTCAACGTTTCACATTTTTTAATTACGCAAAATAATTCGTAACAAAAACAGAGTTGGTAAACTTTATTCAATATAATATTAGTTACGATTGTACTTCGTAAGAAATAATGTTTAAATTTATTTTTTAATTTTAAAAGATATTTTGGAATTAAAAAAAAAAAAAAAAAAAAAAGGTAAAAACGCTATAACGCTTTTGGAAAACTAATACCGATTTCAGGACCACATGCGCGGGCTTTCTTCTTCCTCCTCTTCTCGGTGCCGAATAGATTTCAGACTTAGCGAATTTCATAAACTCAGGGCACAACTCGTTCTTCTCCTTATCCACGCGATGTAGTGGGCGAAGGTGGGATCAAGGAGGTTAATCGGCACCGGCGCGGTTCGATGACTTGGTGGGGCTAAGCGACACCGTTAGCGGTGGGGAGCAGCCTCTCCTCCTCCCTCGGAGGTTCAGGAAGTAGCGAGCGTGGACTGAACTTCTGAAGAAGTGGAGGTCCAATTCGAAGGTGAAAGGTTTCGTGGCGCAGAGTACAAGAGGAGGCTATTCGATCGCCATTGTTGGTTACCTCGCGTTTGTCCCAACTCGTAACGCTATGAAGAACAGGCTCAGCGGCGATCGCTATATCATCCAGAGCATCAGCCCTAAGAATTTAGTGGTTGCCCCAGTTCGATGATCACATTTTTGGTCGATTTTGGGGTCCCGTTTTGCCTTTATATCTCTTACTCTATAATTCCTATTTATTTCAGCTAAACTTGGAAGGTCTTGAATTTTTCATCATAATGCATAAACATATTTGTTATTAATCGAGTTTATTCAACAAGAAACGAAAGGAATGTCACTACAAAAAAATAATATATTTGTAACGGAATTCCGTCACTAAAGTTCAGGTAGCTAACGTAATTTCATTTCTAATTCCGTCTCTAATGTCATTATTAACGGAAAAAGTAGATTTAGAGACAAAAAAGTTTTGTTACAAAAATAATTATTTTTTGTAGTGTGTGTGTATACATACGTTTATATTGTTGCAGGTAGAGATGATGCAATGACAAATTTTGAAATAAAGGGGTGCCGTTATACTATCTGGTAAGTTTTATAGGTGAAATATGTAAACACTAGCCATGTTCTTATTGATAATTTATTCCATGCCTCAGTGGATTTACTTGATGGCCATTTGAGTTGTGAAATCTTTGTATTGCACAAATTAGTGTTGCCTCATTGTTCTGATATCTTGAGAAGAAAATGTTTGGAGTATGCAACAGGTTGTTTCCTTGGACAAGTTTTTGAGGGGATAGAATGTGGTGATGATAATCTTATAGAAAGATGGACCTTAGGGCTGTACAATTCTATACCATAGGAATATTGCTGGGGGCCCTTATATTCGGTTTCAGAAGCAAGAGAATCCTTATCATGCTTAGGAGTCTTTTCTTGTATATAGCTACTACATGTGCACAACTCTCATTTTACATCCTCTTGATGTGTTTAATGAAAGCTATGTATTTTTTTCTCAAGAAAAGAGAAAGGTTCTGTGATTTCACTGGAGAAGAAATACAAATCAACTTTACAAGATGGAAACTTGTTGAATCTCTGTGATTTGTTGTTTGATCATATGGGGATTAAGCATGCCACTCCTATTTGGTCACAAGGATAATCTTTCTTTTTATTATTATGGTTTCCTATTTGGTATACGATAATTTGCTCTTATTCCTTAGTCATTGCCGCAGTTTATTAGCATATTGTGTGGTATTCTTCTTCTTGTTTTTAGGTTTGGGGTATTGAGACTGTAGGAAGATAGTTTGCTCAAGTCATGGCCAATAATCTCTTTAAAACTTTTCTTGGGTGATTAGGGTTGAAGATGCAAATTTGAATTAAACTTTTGATAATGTGGAAATGGATGGTTGATTGGGCCTTATTATCGTTGAAAGTGTTCAAATTGTTGTTAAGAATGAGATGAGATTCCTTCTTGTTAAGAATGAGATGAGATTACTACTACTACTACTACTACTACTCAGCCAGCCAGATCCCCGCTAGCTAGCTTAGTTGCTGGATAGCTGAGCTCACCTCTGCGCTCAATATGTATGTATGTATGTATGTATCATAATGAGAAGGAGGATGAGGATGAGGTTGCAGTGGGGGAACATATACTCATTCATTCCTTCAGCTGCAACTCCCTCTTGACAGCTTGCTACCTAGGCGGGTAGTTATGTTGTGAAAAACCAGTTACATTTTTTGGTTGTATTAGTTCCCTCTTTTTTCTTGTTGCCATAGATTAAACAAACCCCTCGGCTTTTTAATCTTTAATGTTATTATTTACTTGTTGTGTTTCTAGGTAAGTTTCAATGAATTTATTTTATGTTATGAGTGTTCATAGTGTGAGCAGGTCCTTGCCACTGCTCATTATTTATTAACAAATTTTAGTTTCTCTTTGAATGTGTCAGATCAATGAGGGATAACTCCATATTGGTAAGTGGAGAAAGTGGTGCTGGTAAAATAGAAACTACTAAGATGCTTATGCGGTATCTTACCTATTTGGGAGGTCGTAAAAAAACTGAAGGGCGGACAGTAGAACAACAAGTTCTTGAGGTAAAGTATATGCTTTAACTTATAATTTGTGCTTAAGTTTTTCACTTCTATGATAATGTTGAGTATACTATTGGAACTTTCTGATTTATGTATGGAACAATTGGCTGATTGCTGTCTTGCTGAAGCTAATGAGCATTTTAAGATAATTAGAAATATTTGTTTTCCTCATATGTACACAAACTCCACTAAGGTTGGACGGTCTTAAGAATTTTCACTTTATTACTAGCTGAATGACTTTATTTGGTAGTTTTTGTAGACCAGGAAATATCTGTTTGTTTCGTAATGGGTACTTGCCTTTATTGAAATATGATATCTAATAATTAGGAACCACAAGGGATTGGTTCTCAGAAAAACCCTTTATGGTTATTTAAATAAATCTTCTTAAACATTAGTATGGCTTATTTAACTGACATGATTTTTGTGTCTATTAGTCCTTTTATCTCTGGTATATCTGAAACATAATGAGTGGTTTAATGCAGTCCAATCCGGTACTGGAATCATTTGGTAATGCAAAAACTGTATGAAATAACAATTCAAGGTGAAGTTTCTCAACTTGTTTAAATCAGACTGATGGGGTATTGAAAACAATGACATTACAGCTAGTTATCCTGAATGGCTTGTGATTATGCAGTCGCTTTAGTAAATTTGTGGAAATTCAGTTTGATAAACATGGACAAATATCTGGAGAAGCCATAAGAACTCATCTTCTTGAAAGATCTCGAGTGTGCCAAATTTCAGATCCTAAACGCAATTATCACTGTTTCTATCTTCTTTGTGCTGCTCCATAAGAGAATATTACTATTACACTAAAATTCTCTGTCACAGATTTCAGTTTGATATCCTCACAGCCATTTTACTTGTGATCAGGATATTGACAAGTACAAGCTAGGGCCTCCGAAGACATTCCATTATCTCAATCAATCTAATTGTATTGAACTTGCTGGTGTGAATGATGCTCATGAGTATTTGGCTACCAGGAGGGCAATGGATGATGTCGGAATAAGTCAAAAGGACCAGGTAAAATCTTAATGCTTGTGTCTTCTTGATATAATGTAGCACTCTATCCTCAGGTGCTTAAGGTTCTCTCACTCTTCAGGATGCAATTTTCACAGTTGTGGCAGCTATTCTCCATCTTGGTAATGTTGACTTTTCTAAGGGGCAGGAAATTGATTCGTCAGTTATAAAGGATGACAAATCGAAATTCCATCTTAAGACAGTTGCAGAGCTTCTTATGTATGATTGAAGCCCATTTCAAACCATTAGTATTTCTTAAGCTCTACTATTTCTGGATTTTATTATATTATATTTTATTTTATTTCTACGTGTAATCCTGTTGCACTGGAAGATGCAATACTGAAGCGTGTGATGGTCACTCCTGAAGAAGTTATTAAGAGAAGTCTTGATCCTACTGCTGCATTAACGACATGTCTTCAAGATGGAGCAAGAGGACTACGAAAGAGAGGCGATTGACTGAAGCTACATAGAATTTGTAGATAACCAAGATGTTCTTGATCTTATTGAAAAGGTTCACATTTCTACTTTTGTTTGTTTGCTCTGAGTTTCGAGATCAACATTGCATGCAGTGTTAATTCAGAAACAAATTATTCTCTCTGTTTTTGTTCGGTATAGCTATTACTGTTAATTTTTTTCTTCAAATTCGCCCTTGCATTGATTAGTACCTTCCCCCACTTCTGAATTACCCATGACTTCATTTTGTAATTTAGCTGAATCTGTAGCCATACACAGTACATCCCGCTACAAATCATTGATCTCGGTTCCTGGTTGAAGACCCCCTCAATATATGTTTTTGATTGCTCTGCTGCTGGATTTATTGTGAATGCCTTCATTGAGGTACAATTTTCCTACCAAGAAAGCTTCATTCGAGCTAGTGAGTTGGTTTTAACCTTTTTTTTCTTTGTTCTCTATATTTTAACAACACAGCTCCAGGAAAATAGTACCTCAAGTTCTGGATCTTCCATGAGGGACTGTATTTTGCTAGCAGCCTGTGAAGCTCATGAGACGCTACCACAAAGTGCTGAGTTTCCTGCTGATATTTACTTCCTGCCTTACAACACCCATAAAAATGGCACTAAGATGGTGATCCACAACTCAATTTTATTCCTAATTTGAATTGCCGTTTACATCATGTTTTTGGTTTATGTTCCATTATTATGTAGCTATCACCAGTTGGTCAGTGTCTGTTGTTTGTGTTGGTGAAATGAAGAATAGTCTATCTCTTCTCTCTCTCTCAGGATGTCGTGTAGGTGGCTCGAACAGGATGCAATTGCACAACATATTCTCTAAGAGCTATATATTAAATTCAATGATTGAAAAAGAATGAAATCACTTGTTGATATAATCCTACATGGATTTTTTCTATTTCATTTTATAAATAGTTATTGGTCATTGAAAAAAACTAGGGTACAAGCCTTTATTAGGAGTCTGAATCCTGAATATCTAAACGTGTTAATTTTTCTGATATGTAATTGTCTTCGCTTGATAAGATATTTTTTGATCATGCGTTTTGAAGACCAATTGCCTGTTCAGCTAGTTTATTTGTTTTTATTTTGTATCTTTTCTGTTTCCTGTACAGTTTCAACCCAATTGCAGGCTCACACTATCAGAGGTTTCTCATGTGATGGGTTGTGTGCTGCTTCATGAATTTTATCTCTTTTGAATGTATGATATCTTCCTTTTTTGTTATCTATCTTGTAAATGCAACTAAAGGTATTTGTTGGGAATGAATGTTATGCTTGACTTGGTTGGCAATTATCTTTGTTTTTTATTTTTTCGGTTTTGCCATCTTGTTCCATTCCCCTCTTAAAAGTTATTGCTAATAATTATGTGGTTCATTTTATTTCAGGTTTTGTTCTCGGTCACTTCTTCATGAATCAATTGATTATTCTCTGATTGATAGAATTCTTGGCCGCCAAACTAACAGGAAGACCCTTTTTGGGGAGTTGAACTGGATATTCACAGCTGTGACTGATACTATTGCATGGAATGTACTTCCTCATGGTAACATTTATTATAATCTTAGCTATCATATTTTGTTCTTAATCTAATTGAATGAGACTTTGAATGCTATATATTTATTCCAGAGATTGTTCAGGCAAGATCTTTTGGTTGCCAGCCTGTTTCGAAATTTTTTGCTTGCTGAAAGGATAATGCGGTCTGCAAATTGTTTGCCAGTTTCACATCCAATGTTACCACCAACCCATCAGCACCGTATGTGGTAAATATTTGTGCTTGTCTGTCAAATGTACATTTAAGACATGTGTTCTTCATTAATTGGTATTTATCTGTCTTATATCCTTGTGATTTGCAGGGATGCATGGGACATGGCTATACACTGAAATATGCCTTTCTCAGCTTCCGACATTAGTTGAGGACCCAGAGGCCGAGTTCCAGGTATCTCTGATTATTACTTGTATTTTTTGCAGTTCGGAATTTATCATGTAGTGCATAAATGGTAGTTAATCTCATTGAGACATAGTACTACGACACATACATGGAGCCCTCCCATTTGGGGGTTGCCATATGGATATAGAACTTCAAAAATTCTTTTTTATTTGATATTGTACATGATATTGCTGGTTTACATTTGTTTATTGGAGGATAATTGGTTTATAGATCGAGCTGCAATTACATAGGAAATTAGGATATAATGTGCTTTGGTTCCTAATTCATGGATATAATACCATGTATTGTACGACATGTCTGAATGTACATACTCGTATTGTTCTAGTTGCAAAGCTTTACACTTCTAATGTCTGTGTTATGGCATGTTATACATACAGTTTGAACGTCTGTTGATATATACGGCTCAATATACTAAAAAATTGCACTTGTGGATGCTGTAGGTGATACACTTTCCCTGGTCAAGGTCTTCGTGACATCCGCCTCAGTCCCGGACACACCCCTTATTTTGCCGACGATTGCTGGGGCGACTACCCTTCGCGATGTCGTTGGTGAAGATCCTACTGAGTGGAACTACAAGGACGTACGGATCTACTTTCATACCTTTCTTGCATTGCCTTCCAAAATTTATAAGAAATATGACTTAAACTAATCTTTGTGTTGGCAATTGCAGTTCACGCGCCGCCCCTGAAGCGTATCTACCGATTCAACCATGTTAGTTGCCCCGTTTGTCTTATGCATTGTATGTCGTACCTATTTTTGGATGGATTGTGTTGAGGCTGTGTGAACTATATGTGGAATGGATGCATAGACCATTAGAGTTTTAATTCGTGTGGTGAAAGATGTGGTTATGGATTGATGGATATCTGTACTTGCTTATTGTTAGGTTTGGTGTTTGAACTGTTAAGCACGTTTTGCAGAACATGATGTTGCTGTGTAGTGCTTGCTAGGCTTGTTTTATGGGTTGCTTTACTTTGTTGTTAGGTATGGAGATTGTCCAGTAAAAACTGTGGTGTCCATGTGTCTTAATGTTAGGTTTAATGTATTTACTATGAATTAATGTTTGCAAGTATTGCCAATGATGATGTTTATAGCATTATGTGTATGCTGAATTTCTTTCAGTATTGGGGAGATCACAGCAGGTCATTTTGTTACGCACAATTTCAATTGCAGTGTACCTACTATTTTATATAGCATGCTATTTCTGCGTAACAAAAAGGTGAAATACCGTGACAAAAAATGGTCCTTGAATATTTGTTGTTTCAGGTTGTTCCGTGACTATAGGAAAATATATTTTTTTATTACGGGTTCAATGTCGTTACAAATATTCATAACAAAAATCAAATATGACAAGCGATCACAGGAACGCTTTTGTAACGCGACAACCTTTCGTAACAAATATCGTAACTAAAAGCTCTGACACACGTGTGGAAGGATTGACATTTGGTTACGAGAGGAAATTCCTAACAAACAGCGTAACAAAAACCCTGCATGAGGAAGCGTTGACCGACAGTAATAGTTACGAAAAATGGCGTGGCAAAAAATATTCGTTACACGAGTACATCATTACGGAAAAAAGTCGTAATGAAGGCATAGCAAATACGCAAATTGCACGAAAAATGGCTTTTTGTTACGATTTTTCAGCCATAGTAGAAAACAATTTTTTTAGTAGTGACTACTGCTGCATATTCAAGTCAAGCAATGTTACTATCAATAAGCGTTAATGAATGAGAGTATTCATGAATAATTTAGTAATAGATTTCAAGTGTCTACACGCACCGATCTGCTGATCCGGGTTCTACCACCTTACTATAAAGACTTATGAGTATAAATGAAGTTTAGACCGTTGAAAGTAAGGAGATTATTAATATAATGCTATTGTCACTTAGCTTATTGTCGGCAACTCTGATATTGCCAAGAGCTGCAGAACTGTAGAGATAATTTCACAAGATTCCACCAACCTTACAAATGTATTGCAGATATCTATAATGAGTTATATGATAGAAATTCAATATGGATGTGAAAATTTATGAAGTGGGAGTTTTTCCTTATCTGATAAATTTATTTATACTTCTTTGGTGGTTTGCAATTTCACGAGGCTTAATTTGATACCACTCACGGTTATTGATCATTTGTTAAATGGTTAATCATGGTTTGTAACAATTGAATCAGTTTGTTTTGGATATTCGATATGATGTTCTTGTTATTGCTACCTGCTTTAATGATGTTACTGTGTCAAAATGGTTTGTTCATGATCTTCTTTTTTGATTGTTTTGTGATTCACCATCACTTTCTTAAAAAACGTTTGCATGGTATGATTCAGAATTCAAGTTTCAAACCACTGTCGAAACCATTTTTACATTGTAGCTGGATAAACAATTTCACAATATGATTATTTGTTATTATTTGCGACGCTATGATGTTCCTTTTTTTTTTTTTTCAAAATGTGAGCGTAAGTGAAATGATTAATATTTGGGGACTGAGGGCATGGCATATGCTATCTGCTTGCTAAATCATATTTTATTACCAGAGAGAAAAAACTTTCGAGTTAGGTATCTTCATATCCAATTAGCTTTGTATTATTTACCCGTACATTAGATGCTAGAGCTTTTATTTTCTTGTATCTTATTCTACATTTTTGTTGCTTTTATTTTGTGATTTTCACCTAACTGCTGTTTGAGTTATGAAGCAGTTTCGTTAAAGAAAATTTGTACATTCCATTGCTTGTATGATTTATAATATATGAAGTATGTTCTTATTGATCTCCAGCCCTATAAATAATTGAAATCTTGTGATGTTTGTCTCCTTGATTGCACATATTTTAAATTTGATTGTTAGAGATAGGTTGGAAATAATCAGTGGTGCAATTGAAAAAGTGTGTGATAGTGTGATTTATTGGACTGCTTCACCTTCTAGAAAAATTTGAAGAAGTTGCTCGTCAATTGCATATTAATCGTTCTAGAAGGTTAGTTCTGGATTGCAAAACTCGTTGGAACTCTACTTATTTGATGTTAGAAACAGCTATTATTTATAAAGATGTGTTCCCACGACTTAAATACCGAGAGAGAAATTACAGTAGTGAGCCAAGTAATGAGGATTGAGAAATTGCAATTGAAATATGTGGAAAGTTGAAGATTTTCTATCAGTTGACCGAGTTGTTTTCTGAAACTCTTTATCCTACATCAAATTTTTATTTTGCTCATATATGTGAGATAAAATCAAAATTAGATGAATGGGTGAAGAGTTCGATATTGGTTCAAGAAATGACGAAAAAAATGCTTGCAAAGTATGAAAAGTATTGGAGTGATTGTCATATGATATTGGGGGTTGCTGCTGTATTGGATCCTAGGTACAAGTTGAAGTTGGTTGAATTTTATTTTGATATGATATATGGTGATGAAGTTGACATCAAAGTTAATCAAGTTCGTCAAAATTGTTATGATTTATTGATTGATTACCAATCTAGAGCCACGTCTTCTACGGATATGAGCTTGGTTGTTGATGTTGCAATGTTGGATTTGGGGGGTGCGATGACTCGCAATGTTGTTTCCGCTGATGCATTTGATCTAGATCCATTGAAGAAATACGATCAATTTGTGGCAAGTATGAATGATTCTTCTAGGATTTCTACGATGTCGGAGTTGGATATTTATTTGGAAGAAAGCGTTTTACTGAGGACACAAAATTTTGATATAGTAGATTGGTGGAAGACGAATGGAGTCGGTACCCTTACTTACAGAAGATGGCAAAGGATATTTTGGCTATTTCGGTTTCTACGGTTGCTTCCGAATCTACGTTCAGTAATAGTGGAAGAATTATTAACCCTCGTCATAGTAGACTTAATCCTTCTACTTTGGAAGCATTAGTATGTGCTCGACATTGGTTATGGAATGAAGCAAATTGTAAGTTAATTTTATTATATTTTTAATTAATATATTTATATTTTATTATATTGTTAGACTTATATTATTTGTTGATTTATTATTTTAGGTGATAATTTGACTTCCAGATGCTCAAAAGCATTTGACGATGAAGAAGAAGATGGCGATAAACAATGAAGATTGTTGTTATTTTACGTTGTGATTGATGACTTATGTTAATGTGTTTAGATTGTTTACGATTAATGCACGAAAGATTACATGTTTGGTTATTATATATCATAATATGCAATATTTAGTTTTTTTTTTTTTTGATTGAATTATTACTGCTACTGTTGCTCATTATTTGTTGTTATTTTTTTATAATTGTTTGAAAAAAATAGATAATTGTTTAGGCGGGTCTGGGTCTGGGTCCGGGTCCTGTTTATATTTAAAAATTTGAAACTATCGGGTCCAATCGGGTAGATTCGGGTCGAGTCCGGGTCGAATCGGGTCCGGGTCCAATCGGGTATGATCCGGGTCCTGGGTCCATATATCTTTTTTCGGGTCGGATCTTGGGTCTGGTCAGACCCGACCCAGACCCAACCCGGTGCCATCCCTAGCTATGGCTTTAGATTTTTGTGGTCATGCGTAATTTAAGCTACAACCGACAAATGTGGGGGTATTCGCAATTTTCGTCCCTATATTTAACCGTCTTTTCAATTTGTGTCCCAATAATATTAATTTCGTAAAAAATGTCCCTCTTTTTTGCTAATCTGCGCAAAATCTAGTCTAAACGGTAATTAGAAGAATATTAAGGGTAATTGAAGAACGCCGTTGACGGAGTAGGCACGTGCCACCCACGTGACCGTGCATTAGACCGAACCGGTTCTCATTAGACCCGGTTCTCCACCGAACCGGTTCGGTTCAATCCCGGTTCGATTCGAACCCGGCTCGGTTCGAACCGCTCCATATCTTCTCCAGACTGATCTCATTCCCCCATTTCCCAGTCCAGTCGCGAGAAGCCCTAGGTCCTTCGAGCATCACCATCCTATTTTCCTCACTGATACTCCGCCTATATTTACAATTGCAAAACCCTAATTCCCATCAATCATTGCCATCCCTAGTCGAGCTGGATTGAGGCGGAGTTAGTTCAGGAGTTCGTTCGTTTAATTCCGTCGTGGAGGCGTAAATTCCAGTGTGTGGTTGACAATGGCGCGTAGAAGCAAGCACGCTCTTGATTTCACCCCCAATTACAGTAAGTTGAAAGCCCTTAATTTGAAATATGCTTATGGTATACGTATTGTAATTTTTTCAGTCTACGTTAGGATTGTGGTTAATTTATTTATATCATCTATGAAAGGCTTTAATTTCAATAAAATGAGGTAAAAAAAAAAGAAGAGATTATATTGTGCTAGAAATTAAATTATGTCCACTAAATAACATTGTGGTTACGTGTTGATTTATGCTCTTTTTTTCTATTGGTTTGAATGAATATATTACGTTCTGTTAAACACTTAGCATTACTAAAATGTAGGGGCGATGTTCAATGAAGATTCCTCTGCTACTTTGAAAATTTATTTTGGCTGGGTGATGAGGCATAAGCCTCGTAGGGAATATTTAGGGGGAGAACATGATTATTTTGATTTTGTTGATATGGATAAATTAAGTGTGTTGGAAATGTGGGGATATGCAGAGGAATTGGGATATAAAGAAGCGAATAGTGTTAGATTTTGGTTGAAGTACGGTAACAACTTTTATAGACAATGCAAGTGTTTGGAAAGTGATAAGGATATATTGTAGATGACAAAATATATTTAAGATAATTATGAACTCGAAATCTACTTAGAACATCTGGATATCAAGCTTAGCCAAGATCCTCAATCCAATCTAATTAGTGGAATAGAAGATTTAGGTGGTGAAGTTCCTCGGGCTAGTGATTGTGTAGAAGGTGAAATGGAATAAAATGATTCTAATTTTGATGACTCAAATAATGAAGTTGAGTTAGAGAGTGGGCTACTCGGGTTGAAATTGACACGACCCCACTTACACTATAGTACTAACGCCAATTCACATATAAGTAAACGATAAACATGCTATAATCCCTCTTAATTACTTAAATATATAACAACTTGTTAACCTGCTATAAATATTTTTTCTCAACAAAACATAACATAACTCAATAGTAACCTATTAACATTCACCAAAAGGATCTCAAACCATATCAAAAACTACACAATCGACATACTATTTATAACAACATCATACCACTTCTAAAACAGACGTAATATAGAACAATGGAAGCAAAACAAGCCACGGTCCTGCCCGCAGGTCGTCATCTATGTACACGGTAACTCAAAATGCCTGTAAGAGCACCACGGCTACTCCAATCTGTCCACCAAGTCATGTATTATCAGGATTACCTACAATGCATAAACTGAGTGAGATTTATAAATCTCCGTAAGTAGAAATTATGCAAGATGTGAAGTTTATCTCAAAATTCTCACTATGCAGAATGTGCTCTCGTTTGAAATCACCAATTTATTTATGAAATACTCTTCAGGGCCCCTAGAGACACTGTTATACACCGGAAGAGCTCAATATCAATATATTCAAATCAAACGATGGCCTACACCAGGTAGCCTACACCGGGTTTCCTCGTAAGGTTTCCCCGGGTCGCTTCTTCCCAGGTCGCCTCTTCCGTATGCATTGTTTATGCATTGTATGTAAAGTCACAATAGACGGTGGCCTACACCAGGTAGCCTACACCAGGTTTTCCCAGGTCGCTTCTTCCCAGGTCGCCTCTCCCGCCCTCGGTGTATAATCAGAGTCGAACATAGTAAAACCATCTTATTTCATTTCAATACATGATATGCATGTTTAATGAAAATGCAATGCAACATATTTCACAATATACAGATATTATTGAACTCACTGGTTCAAACCACATCAATTTGGAGTCATAGACTCTTTCAACATCAAATATAGAGTTCACAGGCTCAACCACATCACACACAGAGCTCACAGGTTGAAACCAATTTATATACGAAGCTCGCAGGCTCAAATCACATAATCACAGAATATTAATCACATTTTACAGTTTTCTGATATTCACATATTATCAATCAAACATAAATAACTCACAAAATAATATATTTATGCATTGTAGTTGCAAATGAATTTCTACTTACCTGAAATTCTCCAAAAAACGTCAATAACTCTAACTCTTAAAGCCCTTTTCACGATTCCAGTATCGTATCTAACAATAATTAATTACAAATATTACCCCAATTTACTAAATAATTATTTCTACTCAAAACTTCATCTACTTAATAAAAATAGTAATAATTCGTAAATACAAAGAAATACCTGAACTAGGCTTTTAACGAATTCGGCGTAAAAATATATTTTTTTTTTCTTCTTCTTCTTCGCGTTTGCCTTTCTCCTTGTTCTCTTGAAATTGAATTGATATGGATGAGGTGGGGGTGGGGATTATTACCCCCCACCGCCTTACATTTATTTATTTATTTATTATTATTATTATTATTATTCACATTTATTATTATTATTATTTTATTTATTTATTTATTTATTTATTTATTCTATTTATTTTACTTTTTATTTAACTATTACAGTTAATTTTCAAGTTATCTATATTTAACTTACACACTAATATCCAAATAATTTACCCAACCTATTTGTATCCTACTAGAATCTCATATAAATTATGATAATATTTTATTATTAATAAACAGGTAAAGCATATACCAAATTATAAACAATTTAATATATAAGTAATTTACCAGCACCTAAAATATGAAATATATATTGGCCAATGAGTAGTGAGAACCTCGGGTATTACAGAAATTGAAGGTAGGATGAAAGGAAAATCTATTGTGGATGATTCCACAGTTGCTGAAGATGTTTTGAACACTTTACAAAAAGAGGATGGTGAGACAGATATCATGGGTAGTGGTAGTGAGTTAAATAGAGGAATGGAAAGTGATGGAAGTGAAAATGAGGGGACAAATCAGTTTGAAATATATAATTCAAACACTGGTGGTGAAAATCCAGAGTTGAAATTGGGTTGTTGTTTAAGTCGAGGGTTGAGGCTAATTTTTCCATTGAAAGCCATTTTTTTAGGAGGGGGATGAGTGTGAAATTTCCAAAGATTGACAAGAGTAGGTTGAGAGCCACATGCAAGAAACAGGGGTGTGGGTGGTTCGTGCTCGTGTCCAAGGTGCAGGGTGATGAAGCATGGCAGTTATGTGGCATGCATGAAGTTCATAGCAAATATGGATGGACTTATGACAACACAAGTATTAAGTCTTCCTGGATTGGGAAGACATTTATGAAAAAACTGAAGGAGAATCCGAAGTTGGATGCTGGTGGTTTTAAGGATGAAATATGTAGAACATTGAGGTGTAAGGTCTCGATGTCGAAGGCATATAGAGCTAGGAGGAAAGCTTTAGACTTGTTGCACGGGTCTAATGTGGAGCAGTATGGCTTTTTGTGGGATTACTGTAATGAGATTGAGAGATGTAATCCAGGCACTTCTCTGTCTTTGAAACTTGTAGATGATGAAGAGTCTGGATTACAACGGTTTCAAAGGATATATGTTTGTCTTTCTGCATGCAAGAGATGCTTCCTTGAAGGTTGTAGGCCGGTGGTAGGTGTGGATGGCTGTTGGCTTAAGGATAGCTTTGGAGGGCAGTTGTTAAGTGTTGTGGGTATTGATATGAACAACAATATTTTTCCTATAGCCCGCTGTGGTTGAGGTTGAGAACAAAAATAGTTGGCTGTGTGGTTCTTAGAGTGGTTGAAAAGGGATTTGGATATTGAAGATGGACATAATTGGACGTTCATGAGTGATAAGCAGAAGGGACTGATTCCTGCTTTCGAATCCATTCTGCCCCAGGCTGATAATCGGTTTTGTGTGAGACATTTACATACAAATATGGAGCGTGATGGGTATATAGGCGTTGCAGTGAAGAGGCTGTTATGGGCAGCAGCTAAAACTACCACCATTCCGGAGTTTAAACGAAGGATGGAGGAAATGAAAAAGGCTTCTGAAGATGTGTTTAATTGGTTAGCTAATAAAAGTCCAGATCATTGGTCTAGGTCACACTTTAGTGTGTATCCTAGATGTGACATGCTTCTTAACAATACATGTGAGTCTTTCAACAATTTTATTATGGAAGCGAGAGATAAGCCAATTATTTCCATGTTAGAGAATATAAGAAACTTGTTAATGGTGAGGATGCAGTTGAATCGAGAAAAAGCTGAAAAATGGGACGATCCACTTTGTCCGAAAATATTGAAAATAATGAAGAAAAGGATGGACGAGGCTTCTGAATTCATTCCAATGAGAAGTGATTATTGGAATTTTCAGATTACTGGATCTTGGGACCAACATACAATTAATGTGAGGGATAGAACATGTAGTTGCAGGAAATGGGACTTAATAGGCATCCCATGTAAGCATGCAGTCTCTGCAATTTGGTGTAGATGAGAAGATCCATTGGCTTATGTCCACAAATGCTATTTTGTGTCTACATACAAGAAGTCATATGCTTATTCAATCTTACCTTTGAGTGAACCTGATTTATGGGAAAAAATAGTAAAGGAAGCACCTCTCCCACCGGTTGAAAAGAAAAGTGTTGCAAGACCAGTAACCATGCGACGCAAAGAACCCAATGAACCCCCTCCAAAATTAAAAAATCCATATAGACTCAAGGGTGCACCAAGAAAAATTAGGTGCAAAACGTGTAAGAGTTTTGGGCACAACTCCATAACTTGCCCCAAACGAGCTTCTATTAGTGAGCCACTGGAAAATGCTCAGGATAAGGATTTAGGAGGAGATGTCCAGAACACAGTGTGCTTCGACGCATCCTCGTAGCCCTCTATTAGGGAGTCGGATAATCTCACAATGGTATTCGTTGTAAAACTTCACTTCAATTCCATTTCACTTGATAACCGTCGTGTTTGGTTTCAATGCTTACAGGATAATGGTGATGCTCCATCAACAACAAGATCATGCACTAAGCCAAGGAAGAAAAAAACACCAACTCAGGTAACTGTATGGTCTGCTTATATGTACTTTCATTTCACAGGTTCACTGTCCGGTCTTCTGTTTGTGTTTCTAGGCTACCACCACTGCTCGTTCAAAAGCGAAAATCCGCACCAGTCCAAGGAAAAAAAATGGCTTCAATTAAAGTACGGTAACATTTCTTAGGAATGCTAGATACAATTTTTATTACAACTCGGTACTAAACAAACTCTCTTTATTTGTAGATGCCTTCGACGTCCAACACCATTCATACACCTGTTATTGTTAAAGGAGGAAACACTTTCATTATGTTATCCAGCCTACAATCGTGTGTTTCCAATAGAGTAGATAGTGGCAGCACGATAGTCGTGACACCAATCAAAGCACACATCCAACCAACATAAAAAACAAGGGCAGGAGGTGCCTCAAATGATAAAAAGAGAGCCAATCCAAGAAAGGAAGATAAACCCACCAAAAAGAAGAAGTAGAAACTTCATGCACCTAACAAAAATTTATTGCCCTTAATTTGCATTTCATCTTGTGAATCAATATGTTTGAAAACTCTTGGGAATTATGTTTTGATGGGGAACGTCATGGATTGTTGGTATTTCAATGTGATATGCAATTTGAAATATTTGGGGATTTAGGTATTGGCATTTTTTTATGTGATGTACTTTTAAAATTGATCATTTATTTTTTCTTGGCAATGCACACAAGTTCATCAACTGTTGCCTAATTGTGGCTGTTTATTTTCCATTTTTGCATAGGTTGATTCATGCACTTAGTTGTTTGATTACACACCATTGACATTCTATACAAACGAACACATGTTCCCCTATACACAACACAAGCTGCTCCAATTTCTAATCACATTCCATGCAAACGAATTGATCACGATCAAACTTAAAGATGCGAAATATATTACGAATACAACATTTCTTCATACAATAACAAGCAATGCTCCTTCCAACACGAGAATCCAAATCCAAAGCTGAGTTTCAAGTAAAAAATATTACAACAACACAATAGACCGACACAATACATCAACATTTCAACTTACGATATAACAACAACAATCCAACACCTGGATCACGCAACACATTATCACTAATATTACCCTTTGGCGATAGCCAATTTCGGAGGTGAGGTGGTGTTGATTATCGCCATAAAGCCGAATACCAGAAAAATGAGCGCAATAACCGCCATATTAAGTAATATTAAACTGCTATGCTGTTTAACATAGCCAATGTGCACCGACGGAGGTTTGTTGTTCTGGCGTTTCATCCTTTTAACTCCTTCTTCCAATAGATTTAGCTTCTTCATCAATTGGTTTTCATGCACGTCAACTTCAACAACATCGTCATCCACGTCGATGACGTTATTTCGCTTCTGAATATTGTCAAGCCGATGAATTTTAGACACCAATGCATTGATCACTTCCTTATATCTATCCGTGGGTTCCTCATCCCACCATTCAAACACACCACAGTAATTTCCACGTTTCTATAAAATTAAAATCAATTAAATATTTTCATAATGAAGAACAAAAATAATAATCATTTCTTTTTTAAAAAATACAAATGAAATTACTGCATAGTTAGGACAAGCTCTGTATCACCTACCCGGATTGTTTGTGCTCCATGAGGTAAGCAATGGGAGCTCATATCCACATCTACACACCAACTTTGGAATATCCTCGATTGGGGACTCCACAATCCGCGGATTTCTTGAGAAATTGGTCCGGGATGAAAACGTCGAGCTTATTCTCTGAAATCCGGCAAGAATTGGAGGAACGAGCAACTAAACTCTACCTTCAATCTAGCTCATTTAAGGATGGCGATGCTCGAAGAACCTAGGGCTCCTCGCGACTGGACTGAGAAATGGGGGAATGAGATCGGTCTGGAGAAGATATGGAGCAGTTTGAACCGAACCAGGATTGAACCGAACCGGTTCGGTGGAGAACCAGGTCTAATGAGAACCGGTTCGGTCTAATGCACGGTCACGTGGGTGGCACGTGCCTACTCCGTCAACGGCGTTCTTAAATTACCCTTAATATTCTTCTAATTACCGTTTAGACTAGATTTTGCGCAGATTAGCAAAAAAGAGGGACATTTTTTACGAAATTAATGTTATAGGGACACAAATTGAAAAGACGGTTACATATAAGGACGGAAATTGCGAATACCCCGACAAATGTGATATATATATGTATATATATTAACGAGCAACACTACCAAATCAACTATCACAGTTTGACACCAAAGGATACTGACGAATCATTAGGCTTTTAAATAAACATTTGAATTGTGATTTACACGGGAAGAATCCGTGTTCTTATACAACTTGGTGATTGACAACATTTTAGGGCAGCCTGTCATGTATTTCACAAATATGGAAATCCGTACTGAATATAGTTCAAATCACCCGAAGAAGTTTTAAAATGTAAGACTTGCACAAGATAATATGATTAAATTTACCAAACTTTTGATCGGGACGAAAGTATTTAAGTACATCTCCTTCGTGCACAACATAAGCTGAGAGTAGGAAATCTAGCAAGCACATTCAACTTTATTAGTCAACATGGCAAGCAAACAAAACTGCCAAAAAATTTAATGCATAAAATTCAAGCTAATAGAGATTCAACCACATGAAATAAGATGGAACTATAAAGGAAATCAACACACAAGAATGTTGGAATATTGGAGATTCTTGCAATACTAATTCCTTCATGAACATCGACAAATTCATTCCAGCCCGGACGAGCAGCGATCACTGGATTCCAATCCTAACTTATCAATCTAGGCACTTGTTAGGTGTTTCATTGTGTAAGATCCTAGCTTACCCAATGCATAATATCTAATGTAAAGTGAACTATTGCAAATATTTTTTGATCAAACACATAAACCAACACACATTTGATAAAAGCATAGGATGTTTTTAAGTTTCACATAACTTGAGAGAACTGAAATGAATCAGGAAACACGCAAAGAAGATCATCTCCTGAATTGCTACAAGAAACAACCAACAACGTACTTGATTAAGAAGTTGAAAAAAAAAAAAAGGAAAACCCACTTGCACAAGTAGCCCTTGTTTTCGATAAATCAACCCGTAAACCAATCTCATTTGAAATCCGATTTCCTAGCAATAAGAAATTGTAAAATTAGATTTGTTTGACCAAAAAATACAAAATCACCGAAACTTAGTGGTTCAATTGAAGAATCTCTTTCTTACACAAACCCTTTGAAATCGAACGGAGTTCGAGAGCCCAAAGATCCACATTGAATTAGGTTAGAAAAAACTCAAAAAATATACCCGAATGCCGGCGCTGGAGAAGCTTGTTGCCGATCCAAAGAGGTCAATGATATTGGTCGCGGGGCGGCGCAAGGAGGAAAGAATCTGCTCGAGTGAGAGAGGAGGAAAATTTATGCCCTAAATTTTCAAAGTGTTGTCCTTATAGCATTTAAAAAAAAAAAAAATCCCTCCTTGGTGAAAGAGTGAATACAATTATTGTATGTTATTATTACTTTTATTTTCTATAAATTTTTAAATATTAAGTTTAATAATTTAAAACAATAATGAATTTCTAATGCTTGGTCTTAAGTAATGTTATTGTGACTAAATTTTACCATATTCACAATTGTCACGAAATATTTTACATAACTAATAAATCTAAAACGTTGACCGGAAATAACTTTTTTTTTGTTATGAAATTTTGCGTAATAATCATGCCGCGAGGAATTTACTGAGTCTTAAGTTTTTGTTTTGCTCATGTTTAATTTTTGAATAATGACATGGAACACAAGTTTAAGTTAAGTTGTTCTCTATTATTAGAAAATCAATTATTTTTATGTTTATCTAGTAGCCTTGGAAGCCTATAAATATATAGCATCCGTTATTCATTTTAAACAAAATGAGAGATTTAGTAGGAATAAAATAGTCATTTTTGTCTCTATTCTCCCTCTTCTATTTTTGCCTTTTATACTTTGTTTCTGTTTTCTTCGTATATATACACACACGTTATATATGACATACTTTACTATATATATATACACAGACATATATTTCTATACACATATTTCTCTCAGTAAAATCCCTTCATCTGTAATTTTCCTTTCATCTAGTCCAATCACCACACACCACCACCAGTGCACACTTTTATATACACACATACACACAATACATTTATGTACTTTCTCTCCCATTAATCACATATATATATATATACATATTTCTATTCAATAAAGTACAGTCCGTGTACCCTCTTATCTATATTTATATATAATATATATTATTTTTCTTAATTTTATCGGATATATGTATATATATATATATATATGTTCCTTTTTTACAGTCGTTCGTGTGTAATTTGATTTGTTTTCTTTTATTTCTTAGGTCAAAGCTAACAAGTAGTATCAGAGGTGTAGCCTGGTGTAATTTGGTATAAAGATTGCATGCCCAAATATCTTAGGTTCAAAAGGATGTCGATTGTGCCGCAGAGCGTGGGGGTGAGAGACAACGTCGGGGTGACGTTTGTCAATCCCCAATTAACATCAAAAAATTACACAACTTGGTCGATCAAAGTTGAGGCAATCATGGAAGCTCAGGGAGTTTGGGAGGCTATTGAACCTACGGAAGGAAAGGCGGTACATGTAAGAAAGGATAAGACGGCAAGGGCGTTCCTTTTCCAAATTCTCCCGGAGGACTTTTTATTGCACGTGGCAACGAAGAAGACTGCAATTGAGGTCTGGGAGAGTTTAAAAACCAGATTCATTGGGGCAGATCATGTCAAGACGACGCGTCTGCATACACTGAGACGCGAGTTCGAGGGAATGCATTTGGGGGAGAAACCTTGGAAGCATATGCAAGAAAGCTGAGTGGGATGGCGGCGAAATATTCCAACCTCGGGGTGACGCGACCATCGAAGAGAAATTGTTTGATTCTTTACCTAGCGAATATTATCCCGGTATTGCAGGAATGGAGCAGTTTTACGACATGGGAAGTATGCCATTTGAGGAAGCGGTAGGGTGACTGAAGGGGTTTGAGGAGCATACGCAGATGGGGAAGCCCATCTCTATTGGAGAGAGTCAATTACTTCCCAACGAAACAGAATGGAGAGAAAGAGATGGTCCAAGGAATTGCAACCGATGTGGACGCAATGAGAATGACAGCAACAACAATGCAAAAGGCTCGGATAAAAGGAGTGGCCGAGACGAGAGCCACATCAAATTTTACAAGTGCGGAACAATGGGGCACTATGCATCTGAGTGCAGGAGCAAACGGGATAAGACAGAAGTCAATTTATTTGACACTCTTGGAAGAAGAGACCAACCCAGAAGCCTTAGATAATAAGGAGCCTATGTTGCGAGTTTACTGAGTTTTAAATTTTTGTTTTAGACATGTTTAATTTTTGAATAATGATTTGGAGCACAAGTTTAGGTTAAGTTGTTCTCTATTATTAGAAAATCAGTTATTTTTATGTTTATGCAGTAGCCTTGAAAGTCTATAAATATGTAGTGTCTGTTATTCATTTTTAAAAAATGAGAGATTCAGCAGGAATAAAATAATCATCTTTGTGTCTGTTCTCCCTCTTCTACTTCTGCCTTCTCTGCTTTGATTCTGTTTTCTTCACATATATATATATATATATTCACACACAGTATATATATATACTTTCCTATATTTATATACACATATATTTCTATACACATATTTCTCAGAGTAAAATCCCTTCCAATCTCCGTCTCCACCAGGCACACTTTTATATACACACATTCACAAAGTAAATTTCATGTACTTTCTCTCCCATTAATCATATATATATATATATATTTCTATTCAATAAAGTACACTCCGTGTACCCTCTTTTATATATATATTTATATATAATATATATTATTTTTCTTCTTTATATCATATATATATATATATATATGTTTTTTTTTTGGAAATCGTTTCTAATTTGATTTGCTTTCTTTTATTTGTTAGGTCAAAACTAACAGTTACATGCAATTGTTACGGTCCGCCGCTCCATGGTGATTGCCCTTTCTTTGGTAGTGTAAAAATATATACAAAAAAAAAATAATCATAAAATTTAATTCTCTGTTAAAAATAATAATAATAATAGTAAAATCTAAAAGGGTGTGTTGCACCACACACTACTAACAATAATTTAGTACTAGCTATTCTGTCATGTTGCCTCCATCCAAATTAAGCTTTGCTGCTGCTGCTTCCCTGTCTGATGTATTTCTTTCAAGAAATCCAAATGGTGCTTGCAGTAGGTTTTTGCAGTCCCTTCGAATTCCCTCATCAGATTCTTAAACATATTCACTACATCATCATAATCGTTACTAGTATCATTCTCTTGATCATCTTTCCTTGTTATCTTCTTCTTCATTCTGTCCTTAAATTTCAGGAGAATCCGATGGGCCCTTTTCCTAAAGTGTCCCACCACAAGATCCTCAAAACCCTTGGGAGGCTCTCTCAAAACCCTAATCATCTTCTCACAGGTCAGCGCGAACACCTTCTCCGAATTCGGCTGCATCATCATATTCCCGATGATGGCGCCAAAAACAGTCAGGATATTCGACTCCTTAGGGTTCCACGATGTAATATTATCGATTTCGCTCTCTTGATCTCCTGCTCTGAAGCATTTATTAATGCCCAAACCCCCTTTCTTCTCCAACAGGAGGTTGGGGTGGAGATGGAGATGGAGGCCGTAGGAACGGTAGTGCAACTCCGGGGACTTGTTAGGGTAATTGGGTGGGAACCATATGTCGAAGAAGAAGAGGCAGTGGTGGTAAGGGGTGCCCTTCGGCCCCATAACCGCGGCCCTCATTAGATCGATTCTGTCATTGTATGTTCTTACGAACAACATTGACAAATCATCGGCATGTTCCTCGAGAAGACGCAATTCTGCTTCGATTATCTGCCTGAATTTCAAAGAAGCGTCGTCATCGTCGTCGTTAGTGGTAGCTTTTGTAAAGGCCAGGCAGTAGTAACGGCTGGTGTTGTTTCTCGTTTTAGTAGTGCACAAGTAATGGTGATCGGAGGGAGCAAAGGGGATTCGCTCGACATTCTTGAATCGATGGTATCGATCTTCCACGTCGTCCTCGTGGATCTCTTCTATATCCCCAAATATCCTCTTTCCTGATACGAAGTCTTTACAATCCATGTCTCTCTTATGCTGCTGTAGAAGCATGGCCATCGACGTTAATTACTTTGCTGCAAATTAATAATTCAATTTGATCAACGATCATCATCACGATCATATATATCTATACATATATATACTATTTAAAAATAAAAATATAAAGACCTACACTTTCCCAATAAATTAATTAATTGTTGTTCTAGCAAGTAGCAACCACTTCCAATCCATCCCCAAAATCCGGCAAATATAAACCCTAATTTTGTTCTTGAAAAAATTGTTACGATCATCCTAATGCTTTTGCAGCTCCGGCGAGCTGTACAGCAACTTTTAATTGCCACCGTTCCGGCCGCCGTAATGTCTCCTTAGTTTCAGAAA